TCACATTAAGTTATTCATATGGTATATCGGTTAGTTGTTGGTTCTTGCTCTGATAGTATATGTTTGTGCCGCCTGCGAATTTGTGTGGCTCGAGGCCAGCGTTGCCAGGTAATTTTCAGAAAAATCTGGACCAGGTAAAATATAAAATCTGTAAAAATCTGGAATGCTCCAAAAAATTCTCTTTTAAATAAAATGGTATTGAAATCAAAGTGATGTGCCAATCTCCCGTAAAAATAGGTCAGTATGATCATCTGGATTTTTTTAAAGTGCTAGAATGGTTATAAATTACATGTTTGAATAAATTAAATAAAGCAAATAGCTTGTTAGCATTGCTAAAATCATCCAAAAGTTGAAAAGTGGTGTGCCCAAAAAGTTCAAATATCCATTACGCACTATTTAAAAAATTAAGTTAAATATGGGTAAAAAACAGCAGAAAATATGGTTATGATTGTTTTATAAACTGTAACTTTTTTTTTTAAAAAGAATGAGAAGCAAAGAATCAAGGAAATTTGATAGGATGGATTTTATGAACTAATAGTCGATGTTGTCCTTACTATTTGATGGTGTACTAGAATTTAAAGATTTTATTAGTTCTAAATAAATCTTATATTACTCTGAGGTTGTTCAGATTTACAGTTTAATTCTTTACATCATACAACACACAACACCCAGCAGACCAGTAGGCAATTTTATTTTGAAGCAAAATTTACTGGGCTGAAGCTGAAATCGAAGTCTAACATCGTGGAACTCACACACAGTTTACCTTAACTACGGGTAACTCCCCTATTCGCATGACCATTATGCCAAAGAATAATTTTATTATATTTCTAAAATGAAAGTCTGATAGCTTCATTTTTGAAGTCTCAGGATCTTGCAATGATTCTAAATTCCGGAATTTATATTTTTCCTACGTCCAGGTCACGAATTATTTGTTAGTCTGAATTTAATTGGAACTCTTCACATGATATCTTCGCCTTTTTTTTTTGTTCAATTTGAATCATCATAGAATTCCATCATATTTCTTTTCTATATTCCCCTAAAATAATCTTGAAAATATCTAAACTTTTCCAGCAACATTCTAAGAGTTCTTAGATTACCTCTTGTAATCTCTTATAAATCACTCTTCAATTCCACAACTCCCTCAAACTGACAAGAGTTGGCTCAATTTTGTGTCCATTTATCTCTATGAAATTCTTAAAATATTCTCAACAATTTCCTTGGTAAACTCTTCAGAATTCAAACTGCTTTGCAGGTAAGGTCAGAATTGTTTTGAAATCCTTTTCAGTATTCATCTTTGGTATTACCTAAGTACACAGGTACTTTGCCAAAATGGTTTTGAAAGAGTTGGTTGGAAATGCTAACATGAAGCTTTTAGTGTGATAATTTATTAGCTAGAGAATGATCTTTAGAAGAGAGTAGGTGGATAGTTCCGTTAGAGTACGGCAGTATGAAAATTGAATAGAAGTTGAAAATGAGCGAAGGGCCATTAATGCGACAGTTTTTAAAGATAGACGCACATCTTTTGCCTAACCCGTACGATGTACGCGGAGACTTGAAGTATGTCTCCAAGTCTACAGGCAAAAAAAGAAGAATTGCATTATAACACACCATCGACTGGAATCATTCTCTAGCTAATAAATTATCACACTAAAAGCTTCATGTTAGCATTTCCAACCAACTCTGAAAATCGCTAACTTCGCGTATGAAGTAACATAAAAACACTTTGAATGGTTTTGAAAGTTTACCAGAAATTGCGCTTAAAATTTTATTAAAATTGATCTCCATAGAAACATTGGACAGAATTCCATTGAAATTATTCTCACGATTCGTTTCAGCATACTCCTTAAGTTTCATCATAAGAATTTTCTATAATTTCTCTTCCGGATTGTATTTCCTTTATTGACACAATCTCCATGCAATTGTCATCACACTGTCAATACTTGACAAGACAATTGACACCGTCTTCAACCAGAGGTTGCAAAGACTGAATATTTAACGCTAGACAACGGACAACACACCACACCCATTAGACCAGTAGGGAAATTTTCAGGTTGCCAAAATTTGCACCAGTTGGAGTGGGAAGCGAACCGTGGAACTCACAATACGCCTAAACGATGGGTGACGCCGCACAACCCCGAAGCCCACAAAGATGAATGTAATTCTACTCAGAAGTAGCTTGAAATTCTCCTTTGATTTCACAAAGAATTTGCCTCACGCTTAACTGTGAGCTATTTTCAGAATTACCTTAAAATTCCAATAATGTCCAACGTTGATGGCATTTAAAAATTAAAGTAGCAAGTTTGGCTTTTTATTTTTTTTTATTAGAGGGTAAATCAATTGCAGTGATATTTTTAATGCAACTTGTTTAAAAAATCTGGGAAAATCTGGAACATATTTAAAAAATCTGGAAATATACGTGGTCTGTCTGTGTACCTGGCAAGACGACTTCTAGATAAATCTGGAATACTGGCAACGCTGCTCGAGACTTACTAAGGCTAAATGCTATTATGTCGTTTCAAAAAAGTAGAAGAGTCTGTGCATAGGGGCACGAACAGAAACGTATATAGGACCGTGATTGGTCGGTGCATTTGTTTTTGGGATTGATTCTTTTAATTGTTCAAAAATCTATAATTTTAACTCTATAATTAAAAAGGGCAGTTTGTTGTTTTCTTATATTTTACCTCAAATGAATTGTTGCAGTGTTAGAAAGAATGATTAGGCACTAATGCTGTCGACCGGGCAATCACGCTGTTTCTAGGATCTGTAATCAAGACAAGTTAAGTTAAGTTTTCTTTATTAGGGAGGCTTTCAGCCTGAGGCTGGTTCGCCTCCGGTAATCAAGACAAGTTTCTTACTTTTATTAGTATTCAGACAATTGTCTCAATAAGCTACATTCCGAAATAGAATGGAAATCAACAGTAAGAGCAGAAGCGTTAAAGAAGCCCTGTAATTTCAAGGTTTGTTAAGATAGAGTTTTCTTCAGAACGCTAAAAAACACACATACAAAACAACAAGGTGCACAACTTTGTACCAATTTTATGCAAAATTTTGTAATTGATCACGAATATCTCGCGATCAGAAAATTTTAGCTTGAAATCCCTCCAATCAATCTCGGTACATCAGGATACCGATTGAGTAAAAAATACTAAATATTCATGTTTTTAAAGACTTCGTGGGGTGTTTCTGTGATGGGGAAAAAGTTATTTCACTATCAAAGATTACAGATTTCAGTACCAAGCACTGAAATTATCCGACGGTACCTCTATTTATGCTATTATATTAGCATTGTAAGTCCCGCCTACTTGGAGAATGATGCTATAGAACGGGTTGCGTTGCCCCGCCTCAATTATAATTTCCCGGATTTTTTACTGATGGAGCCGGGGCATATCAAGTTGTTCCATAGCATAATTCTCCATGTAAGAAAGACTTAGAATGCTAATCGAACAGCATAAACAGATTTGTGATCTGTGAAAGTCAATTTTTTTGCCCGATAAATAAAAGATGTACCGAGAATTGATTGGAGGGATTTATGACAAAAATGTTCTGATCGCGAGATATTGGCAATGAATAGTGAAATTTCACTAAAAATAGGTTCAAAATACACAACCCATTTTCTTTTCTTTTGACGTAGGACTACGTCTGTGATTTCTATATGGGGGTACACTTTGTGAAAACCGAAAATGGAACATGTAACAAAATTATGAAAGATTTTGAACGCTAATAACTCAGCTGCCCCTCGACCAATTTCAATAATTTTATCACCAATCGATCAGAAATATTCCTATGCAACTGTTAAAATTAAGACTTTATCATTTTTTTAAAATGTCACTCTTGAAAACTGCACGCATGTGCCACTGTTGCTATGATAATTAAAATTATCACCGATTGCCTGCGAAAAGCTATTTCTCTAACACAGATTTCAAAGTTAAGTTTCATCCGGTCTCACCAAACGGTGTTTATTCAATCACCACGTGGTGTTTTCTGGTATACAACGAAAAGCTACCCGCAAGCATCAAGGCTGACTTCAACCGCTGATCGGATTCAGTTCCAATCACCGGTCGTCGGCATCAGCAGCAGTGCTTTCAGTACGTGGCGTTGAACATTGTTCTTCAGTACACAACTAAAAGCTGCCTGCAAGCAGCGAGCTGCAGCCCACATGAGCTTCCATAGAAGGAGGAAGAAGCCGCACCGCTATTGATCTAAATCAATAGCTCTTCGTGAGTTTCTGTGGGCCATCTATGTCAATCGCGTCATACTAAAGAGTATAAACAGAGAGAACCCCGTTCATATTCTTATTCTTACACAAAACACAAGCTCCTGCTGTATTTAACAAATAAGATTTATTATATAAGATCACGTAGTCCTACCATTGCGTACAACCCCATAGGGCTGTCCCTTGTAGTTTTTTTTTGCGTTCTGAAGAAGCCATTCCTTAATGTATTAAAAATTATATAGTTCAGCATGAAATAAGAAGAAACATTATGAAATAAGATACAATTTTAATATGAAACGTTGAAATTACGGTATCAAATCCACAGTATTTTGTAATTGATATGATATAGTAATTACTTAGTTTGATATAGCAACAGAATTAGGTGTTCCATGTTGACAGCACTCAGACCCTGAAGGCGAGCAGCCTTCCATTGTATGGGCTGGATGAAAATCGACTTGAGACTGTTTGGCGAAATTCGCTTTTAATTAAAAATAGTTGGAATGATATCCCAAATTAGTGACTAGGCGATTATGGTGGTTATTGTTCATGCGGGGATACGAACGCGCCCGAAGTTCGAATGGAAATGCGGCTTCGGCTTTTTTCGTTTGGTCCCAACTAGGTGATGGCTGTGTTAGGAAAGACAACTTGTGGTCCAAGCAAATGTATGGGAAATTATTATTCTTACAACTTAAGTTAAATTTCTTAGCTGTTTAATCCTACGTCAACATACAAGTTCACAAACAATTTACCAGAACCACATGCATAATTATTAACCATATTCCCTAAGTACCGATTCAAAAGGAAATATTTCCCCCACCGACCGGAACATGAGCGGCTATATGGAGATGCCATCACTTTGTGCATCAACCAAAAACTGAAATCATCGTACGACTTGAAAGCGTACTCCGACATCGAGTACTGCCAGGAAAGCGGTTCCGGCTACGGTACTCTAAATATTTACGATGGACTTTGCATCGCGCTCATCTGTTTTGTGTTCGGGATGGCAATCCTGAGTACCTTCTTCGATTACTACCTTCGAAGTCAATCAGATCTGCCGGACCACTTTGGCGTGCTTCCACAAATGATGGAAAATCGATTCGCCACCATATGCAGCATCCCTCGCAACTTCAAAACGCTGTCGTGCCCTCCGAGGTCGCCACTCAGCCAGGACTTCATGTTCCTGGAAGGACTTCGCTTCATTACGATGGTAACCATCGTCCATTTGCATACGACGGTCATGCTGATGAACGTACCGAGCGAACATCCCGAGCTATTTGAGGAGGTAGGTAAAAACTCATAGCGAATATAATTAAAAATCTCACATGATTTGTATGATTTTCAGACCCTTCACAATCCAGTGATGGCATCGCTCTCACTTTTCACTCCCAATCTGGTTCAATCCTTCTTCACCATCGGAGGCATCCTGTTGGCAGTAAATTTACTGGATTCAATGAGCAAGCAATCCAGCTTTCGATGGTCGCTTCTATGGGAAAAAGTGACAAATCGATTAAAACGAATTCTTCCCCTGTACCTGTTCATTATTATGGTTACTGCTACCATCTTCCGGCACCTACGCATAGGACCGCTGTACGATAGGATAATAGCCGTGGAGTCCAAAAACTGCCAAGAAAATTGGTGGGTAAATCTCCTGTTCCTGAACAACTACCTGAAATCAAATGAAACGTGCGTGCAGCCAAGTTGGTATCTCAGCGCGGATTTCCAGTTTTACCTCATTGGAATGATTGCACTGATGACCATTCAGAGGTAAGTGGTGATCGTGCTGCAGCATTGATATTGCGTTTTGTTTAACTAGATTCCCTTTCACTTTATGTCCAGATATCCGCGTTCTGCCAAGTACTGGATTGTTTCCATGGTGTCGCTCAGCTTGCTCGGTCCAGGTTTGGCGATGTGGATCGAGGCACTACCACCACTAATGGCCACCGGGACGAGGTAAGTTAGCCTGTTCAGGGCCGTAGGCAGAGGATTTGTGGATCTCTTTTAAGCCCCCTCCTTCTGGCAAATGCGACAGGAAGAAATAGTAATTGTCAAAAGTGGTTTGTGCATGGTCAGTTTTTAACCAAATGAGCCCTTTGAGCACTATGGACACTGGCGTGCACAGGGTGGGGCAAGGTGGGGGAAATTGCCCCTCCTTTTATATATAAGATGTTTATTTCCACATTTCCAATTTATGATATAAAATAACTTGATTTCTTGATAGCTTGATTTGAAGGTACATAACTTCATTTCATACTATAAGGGCACTGAAAACCTTTTATTGCGTCCATTTTTTTAGATATGGTGTCTGAAAATTGCACCACAAAGGTGCATGAATGGACAAATATCAATGAAATTTTTTGGTCAAAAAATTGCATCACAGTGGTGCATACAAAAAAATTCTGGTGTAATTTGTTTTTTCAAAGTGGTTCATGGAGGGTTAAAAGAAGAGGGTAATTTTAAGGTTGAAAAAATTCACCTTCGTGGTGGTAAATTGTAGAAAAAGTTTTTTAATGAATAATTCTGGTTTAAAAATATCATCAATGAATAATTCTGGTGGAAAAATTGAATCACGCAAAAAATTTGGAGGTGCACATTAAACTGAAAATTTCTGGTGGAACGTTCGTCACACTGTGGTGAATGTAGAAGCAAGGGATATTCATGTTTCTGGTGCATAACTTGCATCGTTCTGATGAATGCAAGCTTCATTGAATATGGTGGAAAATTTGCACCATTCTGGTGCATGAAGAGACAAAGCCTGAAAATTGTACCACAAAGGTGCATGGTGAAACAAACTTCACTGACAATTTTTGGTGCACCGTTCTGGTGAAAGGAGGAACATGCTCTATTGAAAATTTCTGGTACAAAATTTGTATCGCTCTGATAAATGAGATGAACAGAAAATTTCTGGTGGAAAACTTGCACTGGTCTGGTAAATGAAGGCTCAAGCTTTATTCAAATTAAGCTATATTGAAAACTACTGGAGGAAAATTTGCACCGTTCTGGTGAACGGATGGGCAAGCTCTTCGGAAAATGTTTGGTCTCAAATTTACATCCTTTTGCTCAATAGAGGAACAAATTTTAATAATAATTTCTGGTGTAAAATTTGCACCATTCCGATGATTGGAGGGAAGCTGTTTTACTAAAAATCTATTTTGGAAAATCTGAAAATAGGAGCAAGCTTTATTTGGTGGAAAACCTGCAACATTGTGATGATAGGAGAAGCAAGCTATATTGAAAATGTCTGGTGGAAAATGGAAAAAGGATATCTGCATCAATCAGAAGATTGGAGAACAATTTTTATTGAACATTAACGGTGGAAAATTTGCATCGTTCTGGTCAATGGAAATTTTCTGGTGTAAAATTTTCTGGGGCAAGTTGTATTGAAAATTTCTGGTGCAAGATTTGCAACAATCTGCTGCATGGAGGCAATAGCTGAATTGAAAATTCCAGATGTAAACATTGCACAGTTCTGGTGAATGGAGGGGCAAGCTTTATTGAACATTTCTGGTAGAAAAAAAACTACAAAGTTTTGGTGAATGGACGGACAACTTAAACTTGACTTCCGAGAAGTCAAGGGTATTGAATTCTGAAGACAAGTTGCAAAAGAAATGATTTCTGGGGATGATTCCATGAAAATTCTGTGAATAATTTCTAGTGAATAATGCAGATAGTTCCAAGATAATTTCGAAAAGAATACCGAGAGAATCAAATTTTGATGGGATGTTGGGGAAAATTTCAAGGAAACTCCGAGGATAATTTCAAGCTCATTTTGGGAAGAATTTCTGGAGAATACAGCGGAAATTCTTCTGAAAATTTAGGGGAATTTCAGTTCCAAGGTGTTCTGAGAAAAAAAAGGCTCTAAAATATTCCGAGAAGAACCTCAATGATATTGAATTCCTAGGAAAGTTCCAAAATATTTCTGGAGAGAATTCAAAGAAAATTCTGCGGATAATTTCTAGTACATCCTGCAGATAGTTTCAAGATAATTTCGAAAAGAATACCGAGAAAATCAAATTTTGAGTGAAATTCCAAAGGGATTTAAAGCGAAATTTCAAGCGTATCCAAGGAAAATTTCTAACGCATTCAGTTCCAAGGTGTTCTGAAAAAAAAATCATAAAGAGTTCTAAATATAATTCCAGTGGACTTCTGAGAAGAATTTCAAAAGAGCTCTTAGGAGAGTTCTAAAAAAATCCGAGCAGATCTCCAAGGATATTGAATTCTGAGGACAGTCCCAAAGAATTTGTGGGGAGTATTCCAAGAAAATTCTGCGAATAATTTCTAGTGAATCCTGTTATAGTTCCAAGATAATTCTGAAAAGAATACCGAGAAAATTAAATTTAGAGCGAAATTCCAAAGGGATTTTGAGGAAAATTTCAAGGGAGTACCGATAATTTCTATCTCATTCCCGAAATAATTTCTGGATAATACTGGGGAAATTCTTCTGAAACTCTAAGGGAATTTCAGTTCCAAGGTGCTCTGAGTAAAAGTCAAGGAGAGTTCTAAAAATAATTCCAGAGGACTTCTGATAAGAATTTCAAAAGAGCTCATAGAGTTCTAAAAAAAAAAGCTTTTGGATTCCCTGATTGAAAAGTGGGTATTAGTTTGCCATTGAACCTTGGTCTATTGTTGTCTTACTAAAAAATCGTCGAAGAATCTTGTCAATGAACAGCTTTGAATGTGTTGGTTTATTTCCTTTTAATTCCGTTATAATTGCTTATCTTTTGACAGATACGCGTATTTCGTCCACTACTTGCAGACTTCATCAGTGCCAAGCACTCAATATCACTGATCAAGATGGGATTAACAAGAGCAATATGCTGTTTGTTCACTGCTATGAGCACCCTACTATCGCAACCATTGGACGAACCGATCATCATTGACATCGTCGAATGGATTAAATTGCCAATTTCCATTGGCTGTCTGAAAGCAGTTTGCATTGAAGAAGATGAACCACCACCGGAGCAAAAAATAAGTAAAATTAGCTAAATTGAACAGTAGGGAAAAAGTGGGAGGAGGAAAGCACCATCTACGATGTACTTTGGAGTACTCCCCATCCCCAGATTAAATGCACCAAAGAAAAAAAAAATGCTCCTCCTTAACAAGATTCCTGTGCACGCTAGTGACTATGGACTGTAACGTGACAGGTGGCGAAACAACTTGTTAGGATTTGTACAAAACTAGAGATTTTGTTTACTTAAAGGAGAGATCGAAAATAAATTCTGGTACCCATGACTAATTAGTAGGATGGGTTATCATGATCATTTTTACAGAACAATGTTTTTTGGTTCGATTTAGGGTCCTCTGTGCAAAATTAGAGGACGATTGGTTGCAACCCGGCTTCCCGCATTGCGTTTGAAATTTGTATGGAAATCAGTATTGGAAAATCTACTTTTTGCATCTTTATCCCTATTGACCACGCATCTAATCATGTATAGTATCCAGGGAGTGCCTAACAACTTTGCTCAAGGATGTACGGTGCTAGAATGCCTCGAAAAGAAGTTATAGCTGTTCAAAAATCACTTTTCCTGCCAACACTGGCGGTGTACCAATGAAAGTTAGGCTCCAAACTGAAATAATTTCGAAGTTGATTATCTTATCGGTTTGGTACACTGAAAATGTATTTTCGTTATTTCTCGACTACTTTTTCGAAGGGACGTATCAGCTTTTGTAAACAATGCATTTGATCGTCGATTAGCACGCCCACGCATTTTAACAGTACCATCAGATAGTGGAAATTTTCCCCTACCTGATAGCGGTAAGTTTCTTATTTTGTCGATTTGGTATGCTCAGATACATTATTCAAAAACAATTTCTCAACCTCATACATATGCATAGTTAGAGAGGAGGAGTGGGGTAACTATATCCCCGCCCTCTTTACTCATATATATGGAAGTAAAGCTTCAAACTGAAATATATATTTATATATATTTTTTTAATTATAGTTATTATAGACAGGTAAATTTATGGAGGAGAACCAGCCTCAGGCTGAAAGCCTCCTTAATAAAGATAAATCAATCAATCAATCTCTTGGGTCTTGATTCTGATTTGTCCGGGATGAGATTTGAACTCATGACTTTGGCGTGAAAGCTATGGATGTTAACCACTACGCCGGGGCCGTCCCCTCCTTCAAACTGAAATAACTTCGGTGTTTCTGATCTTGTCAAGTTGGTAGGCGTAGTTCTTCTTCTTCTTCTTATTTCTGTTTGAGCTGTCGTCTGACAGCTCAGTGTTGGACCAGTATCTAGACTATATGCCCAAATAGGCGTAATTTTATATGGAGGAGTGGCTTATTGTATCCCTTCCACCCATCAATTATATCAATGAAAGTAAAGATAAAGACTGAAATAACTTCGGAGTTTCCCATCTCTCGAGTTGTTCGGATGGGTTATTCAAAAACATTTGCTCAATATCATAAGAGCAGTTTGAAAGTGAGTACCCCCACCCTCTTCCCTACGCTTTTGATGCAATATACAATGTCAGCCATATTCACACAAATGTCATTGTAATGATTATATTACAGCTTAATATATTCTACGATTTCTCAGGGTACTCTTTTCGATGCTGTTCGATTACCTGAAGCAAATATTGCTGGGTCTCGTCTGGATTTCTTGAAAAAGTCAGAAATTAGCTTCACCCCTCGTTCAGCCACATCTTTGACAACCATCGAGGAAGCAAATCGTTGTATCGCATTGCAATAATCTGTATCGTTACTCCATTCGTTTGCCAGTTTTCGCATGAAGTCGGTCAAAATTTCGAAAAGGAATCAGCACTGTCAGAAATAACGTTTGACTTGAGAGCCAAACTAAAACACAGCCCACTTAAAGATATCCCAACGAGCGAAATCCGACTGTACCTGTGTCTGAGATGAAACTCGTGAATACAGTTTTCGTTTTTTCCTGTTTTTTTGGTTTTTGACGTAGGCAGGGCTGGTAGCGATCACTGCCGTCAAATAT